TAGTTCCCGAACATTGTGTGTATAATAGCTCGTTTCTTCTCTCGTCTTCTCTTTATCAGTTACTGAAATTAGGGTTCTTAAGAAATTACGAAACTTTTTGGGGTTTCCTCTGTCTAAGTAGTGTTATACATTGTTGGTTTTTGATGGGGTTTGTGTTTACTTTCAGATTTTAGGTGTTCTTAAGATGAAATCTAGGTTACCACTAACCAGTGTTGGATTGAATTTGATCTAAGCATATCTAGTTTGATCTTAAGCTGGAATCGTTTTGAATGTAATGTGTGAAAGTGATTCATTACAAAGGTTTTGATTGTATGATACAATTTCGGTTTTTGCGCTGTTGTGTCTGCAGGAACAGATGATGATCTGCCTCCATCGCATAGGGTACCACGAGGAGGACGTGTGCCTGGTAATGGAAGACCTATGAATCTTCCTCCATCTTATCCAAAGATGTATGATGAAGTTGCTGCTGATATGGAAGCTCAGATTCATCAGATTGAGAAGGAAGCATACATAGCTGTTATAAGAGCCTTTAAAGCCCAAGCAGATGCAATTACATGGGTATTTCGATCGATCTTGAGTTACTTCAGTTTTTCTTCTTATGTTAGTTTTTGGTTAGGTGACATGTGATCTCTTTTATGTATGTATCTTTGTTCAGGAAAAAGAAAGTCTAATAACAGAACTCCGTAAAGAACTGAGTTTATCGAATGAGGAGCATCGAGAGCTTCTAGGTCGTGTTAACGCAGATGATACAATAAAAAGGATAAGGCGAGAGCTAAAATCCAAGCGTTTATATGATTGAGGTGTGAAACAGTTTCTTTCTTTTTCTATCAATAACATTGTTTTTTTTCCGCTCATTAGGGAATGGAGACAATCTGGAGGAATGCAACCAAGTATGCGCAATGCTGCTCAAGTAGTTCACGATACATTGCCTAGCCCTTCTGTTTCAGCTTCTATGAAGAAGCACAAACCAAACCAGCCAATTCCATCTCAACCATTCGCTGGTTCTTCACCTTCTTTTCATTCTCAAGTTGATCCCACTCACCCGTTTGCTTCATCGACAGCTAAACGAGGAGGATCTGTTCCTAATGTCAAGGGCAAAAAGCATAAACCAGTGAGTTAAAAACTCAAATAGTTGGAATCTTTTTTTTTTCAGAAATTATTCTTCTTACAAGTGATTTCTGTTTATAGGTTTTTCCTGGTTCGTCCTCCACAAAACCTGTCTCATATCCTCCTTCAGATCAACCTCCACGAGGACAAGTCATGAACAGAATACCATCTGGTCCTACCACTTCAAGTGAACCCACAAACGGAATTGAACCTGAATCTTTTGTAGGAAAAAGAGTTCGAACAAGGTGGCCTGAAGACAATACATTTTACGACGCTGTCATCACCAAGTATAATCCAGTTGAGGTGTGTGGCTTCTTAATTTGGCTTAAAGTTTCTGCATTTTTATTTTCAAGCTCCCATATACATGTTTTAAATATTCATCTAATTTTTGATTTTAGGGTCGTCATGCTTTGGTTTACGACATTGGAACACTTAATGAGACATGGGAATGGGTTAATCTCTCAGAGGTAATTACTTTTTGATCAGTACTCTTCTGAAACGTTTCTGAACTGATATTTAATTCTCTTACAGATATCTCCTGGGGATATTGAGTGGATAGGAGAGGATCCTGGGGTCGGTAATCGATATAGTTATAACGGACAAAGTCATGGACTGAATAGAACTACAGGACCCAACAGTGTTCCACAACGAGGAAGCGGTTTGGCGAAGAACACTATCAGAAAAGATTTCAGAACATCACAGAATGGAAATGGGAAAAAGAAACACGTTGATATACGAATCCGTCAAACAAATGTCCTAATCAGAGAGGTTGGTATTAATTGATTAGAAGGCGAGTTTTACAGCGTGGTAATTATGGTTATTTCTAAAATGATGTTTTCTGATAGGTGGAGAGAGTTCTTGGTTCGCATAATCCAGATCCTCAAGAAGTTGAAAGGGCTAAGAGAATTTTGGAGGTTTGTTCGCTACAACAACAAATATCCTTTCTTTCTTAGTTTTGTGTTTATACATACAAAAGTTTGAAATGATATATTATTATTACCTTTGATTTAGGAGCAAGAGCAAGCACTTGTGGGCGCAATTGCAAAGCTTGGAGACATATCCGATGGAGAAAATGGCAAGTGTTTAATTTCATATCAAGGATTTAGCATCTTCAAGCACTATATCATCATTGATCTTCCTCCATTTGAGCAAATAAAGACGAAATACTTATAATTTCAAATCAAAATACCTTCACTGAAATTCTCCTTCTCTGTTCTTTATGTATGTACAGAAGGTGGCTTTCGTCGGTAACATATGCTTGAATCAAGCAATTTTGCCAAGGCACAATGCAATGCAGTCCATGAGGAGCCGGTGAAAAAGAGAACATTTGTTGAGATCGAAGGTCAGAGTCAACTTCTTTCATGTTGGCCTTTTTTTTTGGGTATCTGACTGTAATTTTTGCTGCCACTAGAGAATAGCTCTACCGAATGTTGGTTTTGCTGGATATATGTTCAATGGAACGGTATCGGTATCTTGTCCCCGTAGCTCTAGCTTTCGTAGGGACTAAAATATAACAAAAAAGAAGGAAAGAATATTACTGATCCAAACAAACCAATACAGTTTCCCTAATCCGTAACTATGAGAATATGACTTCTAATGTTAGAATCAAGATAAAATACCCCAAAGCGGCTTCTATGGATATACAATAACTTAACCTCTAACCAAAAGCCACTAAAATGACAAAAAGATGATCTAAAACCTCTCATCTTCTGCTTCTTTTCTTAGGCTGTTTATTATTGTCCTTTCCTGTGCTTGCGCTTTCCCTACCTCGTTTTCCTGAGGCAGATGCGGTTGCAGTCGATGCCGCCTCTGCTGTCTTCTTCTGTGGTCTCCCAGGAGCTCGTTTCACCGGAGTATTCTCTACCTCAGCCTTCTTTTTACCCACACTATTGCTTCTAAGTTCTCTTGGTTTCGTTTTATTCTCTTTCTTACCGCTTCCACCGATCTTGTTCTGAGCTTTACCTTCCTTTTGCGGGGAATTCTTCTTTAGTCTCTTCAAGAAATCAGCCACACTCTTCTTCTTATCTGATGAAACCATCTTCTTCTCTGTTTTACCTGTCTCTTGCTTACTACTATTACGATTATTGTCATTCGATGAATTTGTTTTCGACTCTGTCTGTTTCTGTTTGTTCTTGCCTTTGCCCGTCTTGGTCTCAGCACGAACAACCACTTTGCCAGTCCTTCTTGAGCTTCTTACACCAGTCACAGTGTTCTCCTTCTCCTCTGATAATACCTCCTCTTTTTGGCTAAAGCTTGATGACGATGGAGAAGCCTTTGCGGAAACAATTTTCCTCTTCTTACAAACGACAAGAGGAGGCAAAGATTTCTGTCTCGAGAGAGACGAGTCCGATGTTTCAGCATCCGCTTTGACACTATTATTCATAGCCGATGTTTCATGGTTTATCAACCTGGGACCAGATTTTCCTGTCTCTTTCCGCATTTCTTTAGAAACAACGGTTCTTAGTTCGTGAGCAGCCATTGATTCCGAGGAAGATGAAGGAAAGAAGACAATGGCGTTTGTGAAGAGAAGATGTAGATCCCTGTAAAAACAGATGCTTGAAGAATCATATAATCCTTTCTTCAACTTTCTCTGTATTATCTCAATGTCTAAATGTTGCTTAACCAAGCTCTTGTAATCCTTACTCTCCTGCGTTTTAAAATGGACTCGTGAAATTAGAAAGTAAAGGCCCATTAGGCACAACTTTAAGCCCATTATATTATCAGGCCTAAAGAAAACCCAAAAAGTTAGCGGTAAGACACGACAAAACCATGCGACAACAAGAATATGCCACGTGTCCTATATTGTGTAAACAAAAAGACAACTATGACCACCCTCAAAAGTAGTGGGGTTGGTTAAATTAATTTTTTTTTTCCCTCTCCATCTTTCTCACCATATTTAAACGTTCCCATAAATCGTCCAATTTAAAATTCGAATTTTTTTGAGATTCCATATAGAATTCGGAATATCTCTTCACAATAAATTTTTTTTTTTGTAACAAGATTTCGTTTTTAATAAATTATAATTAGGTACGAACAAGTTCGAATTATTTTAACTTTATTTCACTAACGATGAAACAGAAACTAAACGCGTAAAATAATGAATTATTATAAAAAAATCAAAGAAAATAAGGAAAAATAAGATATTTGCATACCTGGCTCCGAAGCCGGCGTTCGAACAAAGATCCACGCGGATGGGACCGAATCAGATCAAGAAGACCAATCAACGGCTGTGATTTACTCACCGCCGATCTGATCTCTTCGCCGGAACCGCCGTGATTAATCTCACTATGTTTCCTTCGTTTCCTTTTCCACTTCCTTCCCGACGTTCCCGACTCGCCTAACTCGTCTGACTGACTCGCTTCCGATCCTCTACTAACCGA